AGAAGCAAACCACACCAGAGCACCCGCCAACCACCCACGCATAGAGCTTGTTGTTGAGCGGGGATTTGCGCTTTACAAATGCTATCTACTCGTATTATCATAATCTCACACGTTCTGGTCCATCTCACACTCACACCGGCGTCTTTGGTATAGCAGTTAAGCGTTTTGCTATCGCACACAGGAGACCAGAGTTCGATTTCTGTGTGGGAAGGATTTTTTTGTTCCGACTATCTCAGTAATGCTGCTAGGATGTTCTGTCCTTCTCGACTGTGCTGGAGCCTGCTTCCCAAATTACCTCGATTATGCACTGACCTGACAACCAACAATTTGTTTATACATGCACCAGCCATCCATGTCTTGGTGCTGTTTTAGTCTCTTTCTCCTGTCTGTGGATTTTTTTTTCTATCAAAATTACTTCTACTTTTAAAGCCTTGATTCTGCCCATGTGGGTGTAAAAACACCTAGATTAAACCAATAAGTAAATGAATACATTTCACCCAACGTGACGCATCCTTGAACTTCCTCAGACAGAGTCAACGACCACGGCTACGAGGCTCATTTCGACCTGCAGAACAACAAAGGTCAAGTTCTCAACGGTCTGGGCTGGGACAACGCCGAGGTCACGTGGGAAGAAGTCAGTTGTCCTCATGACTACGCCAGTCTCTGGAATCAATGCGAATGCCACGGTCACCATTGAAGTGTTTCGGCACGCACAGGGGAACCCAACCAACAGCACGTCGGAAATGTCCAGAAATAGATAACAGAGGATGGAAGACAGCCGTACTTTGCTTTAGAATTTTTATTACGATCTTCTGCTAGTACTTGTACAAATTGACTTTGCAATAACTTTTAACAGCACTTCAATAATGATGTTCGTTGTGTTGGAGTGGCAAATACAAAATAAATAGGCCATAATACGCGGTACCATACAAAATACCACGCCTTTTGTTTTTGAGGTTTGATTTTCTCTTAGAAAGTTAATAATAATTAATGTTTCTGATTCTGTATTTGTTACAATGAATCGTTATTGTTGTCTTTGTGTTGACGTTGTAGTTAGTGTAGAAGTTATAATTATTGCTGATGTTGTTAATGTTGATGTTGTTATTATTGCAAATATTGTTTTTATTGTTAATGTTTTTATCATTGTTGACGTTGTTGTTATTGTTGTTGTTATTGTTGATGTTGTTATCACTGTATATGTTCTGTCTCAGCATTTTTTTCTTCAAGCAAACAAGCTTGACATTTCGAGGAATCAACATGGCAATTGAAAAATGTCATAACCAGAAAAGTAATATGTGCATCTTCTTTTACTATATTCTTAATTGTGTGCACATTGCAAAGTTCCCTTCTTGGTGTTGCCAATGTACCACTTTCACCACTTCACAGAAATCATCTGGCACATTGCGTGAAATACGGCGAGCCTTACAGAATAGCAATTTTTAAAAAAGGTGCCCAACAATCGTACCAAATTTACGTGCAAAAGGAAAGAACCCCACAGCAATATTCTACCAACTCGTTGCTTTGCATTGCCAAACTGTAATGTTTCAACAGGGAGGAACACATAGGTCTATTTATGTGTGTGAAAGACAAGCCGTGCGCAAGGCGCCCGCAAACTTCAGTATCAGAAACCAAACAGTGGATGACACACTGTTGGTGAACATTTCTTTTTTGGTAAGTGTTTTAAGGCGTTTGCAACTCTATAAGAGCCGGAGTCCACAGCATCAGCACTCACGCTTCATCACAAAGTACGTACGTTAACGTAGCGGCTAGCCCGTGTCCACAGCGTCCCCACACGTACGGTAATTTTTTTTTTTGCGCACCAGACCTAGATCTAGAGAAATGGCATTAACAAGGAAGAAGACACTTTTTATGGTGGTGGTAGAAGAGGAGGTATATATGCAAGGTCACCACCGATTCTGGATACAACCCATAGGCAAAGAACGAGGCAAAACAGGAGAATGTAGAATGTCGCACCAAATTCTTGATGATAACGAAACATGCTTAGTATATTTTCGTATGACGAAGGCAAACTTCCAAAGCATTTTGGAATTATGTGGACTACATATTAAAAAACAGAAGACGAACTGGAGGAAGTCCATTCCACCAATTGAAAGGCTGACAGTTACACTGATGTAAGATGTTGCTGCTGCTGCTGTTGCTGCTTCTGTTGTTGTTGTTGTTGGTCTTCTTCTTCTTCTTCGCCATCTTTTTTTTCGCTGTTGTCATTGTAGTATATGACCTACGTAAATGGTTTCTACCGTATCTGTCATTTCAGTTAGAGCCCGCTCTGTGCCTCCCAAAGAGCGGTTTTTTTCAAGCACATTTGTTTGCTTTGAAAAATGGGAGCAGAAATATACAAATAACAACACGGCTATTGAAATTCAGAGTAACAAAATCAATAATTAACTACTATGATGTAAACTTTATTGACTATTCTTAATTGAATCAACATGTCAAACGAAGAAACAAAACAACCCCCCCCCCCCCCCCAAAAAAAAAAAAAAAAAAAAAAAAAAAAAAAAAAAAATAAATAAATCACTGTTTGGAGACAGAATACTGAGATCAAAGTCAAGGGGCATTAATTTAATTTTAAAGGTAAAAGTGGGCAACAAAAGACAATCAACGAAATCAGTGTCGGTGAAGCCACAGCACTTACGGAAAATGTTTGACATGCTAGATGTCAAACGTTTTTCACGTAAGCGTGAGGAAGCGTGTCGTCCGCAGTGGGCCCAGGTAATATAGAAATAAAAGGTTGAACGCTTCCATACGCGCTTTGTGAGTAGGCCTACGTTAGCGTACGAAAGCGGAGTATGTGGACCTTGGCTCTAAGGTCATATGATGAAGGTGCGTGACACATCAAACATTTTCGGTTGGTAGGAATTTTGCCCTGATGGCGGCCGAAGTCTACTCTTATCGATTTTGGACCACCAAGGGATCTTTAACGAGCACAACTTGCACACAGGACCTCCGAGATTTTTCGCCTTTGATCAAGAAGGCTAGGTGTAGATCTTACCTACCATAGAATCAGGGGTGTGTCTCAAAGACGGCAGTAAGAAGGAGCCAAGGAGAAGCAGTAGAAAGGCTGCAGAAAAAGACAGGAGCCCAGAGGAGGGGGGCAAAGGAGGTGAGGGGGTGGGGACAGAAAAGGGAAACAAAAGCAGGCGACAGAATATTGTTAAAGAGCAAGAAAGGATGTGAAAGGGATCGAACCCGGGACCTATTGAATGAGAGGCGGACACTTTAACATCTAGGTCACGAGAGCCCCCTCGTGAACATAGGCTATGAAAGTTACACAAGTTGCTATAGTCCTTGAAATTCCTAAATCAGCTTCAATTTCGTGGGATTGTCTATTAGCGGCTGAGATATCGAAGATTTCACCCCCCCCCTCCCCTTTCCCTAAACTGAACGGAAAAACCCCCACTTGTAACAGTCTCTCAAACGATGGAAGGTAGTAGATTACGCCCCCATGGACACAATCTAGAATAATTAACCGTTGGTTTTTGACAATGTCTGAGAGGGCTAACCGGGGCTAAGAGGGATACAACGTCCCCGCAGAAAAAACCGAGATACTCGATAAAAATTTCTCCCCACTAAGGAATCAAGCTCGGGTCTCCCTGCGTCTGACGCCGAAGTGCCTAACCACTACACCATGGATGCCAGTATAGAGACTCTCTAGACAGTCATAGAGGCAGGGGTCAGACCTTGTTCATGCTCAGTCTCAGAAGGACCATCAGACAACTTTATTTTTAACTTTGAAAAAAAATATACTTGCTTTTACGCCTCCATTAATACAATTTAGATCATATTTGGAAGCAGTTTTCCCAACCCTGCCTGTCAGGACCAACCTGGGCTGAGAAGAATACAACATCCCAGCAGAAAGACCGAGATACTCGATAACAATTTCTCCCCAATCAGGAATCATACTCAGGTCTCCTGCGTGCGACAGCGAAGCGCCTAACTGTTACACCACAGTCACCGGTAGACAACCTTGGACATGACCACCATCATCAGCTTATCGACGACAATGTCACAGAATGTCTAGTTTGAGAGACACGCAGGGGCGGAGCAGTACTGTAGCAAAAAGTTCCGTAAAGCGCCTTTTCCAGGGACACTGCGTCGTGGGCCAATTACAGGGTTTTTTAGTTTTAGTAAAGGTTTTACGGCACTCGCAACTGCATGAGGTCATATGAGCGCCAGAAGATTAGATGTGTTACAAGCGAGTAACAAACATAAAAAAGAAAAAGGGGGGAGAAAGACGATAGATGTTTGATAGGAAAGAAGAAGCAAACCACACCAGAGCACCCGCCAACCACCCACTTACAGGGTTTGAACCCACTGTCTTTCGGTTGCGAGCCCAACAATCTAATCACTAGACCACCGACGCCCTAATAATGCGTAATAATCTCCATGAAGCATTGGAGAAGGTTGTTACTTGAAGACAATAGGGTCTAAGGTCCTCTATGGGATCGACCCTAAATATGACCTCACTTGTGACCTTTTCATCTTATCTTCAAGATAGCGCCCAGACTGGAACCTCGCTTTTGTAATGTGATGTGAACTTTCAACAAACTCATTTGTCCTTCGTCTGGGTCAGCTCAACGTGAAAGGCTTCACTGTTTATGTGGTTGAGCCACACGACTTTTTCTTCAGGGCAGTTTTTATTTTCATCCGATTGTAATTGTAAGTCGAGTTTTGTTTTTGAATTTTTAAAAAGAGCAAACTGAATGTAGGGGACCTACATGAACATGTTTGTTTTGTTTTGTTCTAGATTTTTGCTCAAAGGTGTCAAATCAGTGTATGGGTATATCATTTTCGTGACAGATTACTCGAATCTTTATTGTTACTCCTTCTAATACCTCGTGCAGTTCTGACATATAGGACTAAAATGTGAAACCTGTACGGCTTTTTCTTCAGCGCAGCTTTTATTTTCACCCGATTGAAAGTCGAGTTTTATTTCTGAAATTTTGTAAGAGTATACTGAATGTAGGGGGCCTACATAATTTTAAAGGTGTTTTGTTGTTTTGTTGTTGTTGTTTTTTTTTGTTGTATTTTTTAAAATAGAATTTTTGCCCAAAGATGTCAAATCAGTGTGTGGGTATACATCATTTTCGTGGCAGATTGCTCGAATCTTTATTGTTACTCCTTTTCAGAGCTCATGCGGTTCTTACTTATATATAAGACTAAAATGCAAAACCTGTACGATTCAACGTGAGCTTTCCTTGATCCCATGCACTGTACTGTTATGTTTGTGGATACATTTATTCATGACAGAACAAAAACAAAAACAAAAAACAAAACATGCAGACTAAAAGCAATTATATATCAGACATCAACGCAGGCCTGCGCTTTTCCATACAAATCCTAACAGTCTTTTAAAAAAAATTTTAATTAATGAATTTCATGTCCATAGGTTGTAGACGCCGCTAATTTTTTTTGAAGACTGTGGATCTGAAAAAAAAGAAAAAAGAAGAAAACCATATGTGACCAGATATCCTTGCCAGCAGGTTGAAAGACAAAGTTATTGTCATATAACAAATTTCTGTCCCCTGTTCTTCTGAACACAATGGCCTCCGCAGAACTGAGGTTACCACAGACCAAGGGTGTCGGGACAACCACAATGAAGACTTTTGCTGTTCTACTCGCCGCCCTCATCGGTAAGCAAGATTGTCTTTTTCCTGAAATAAGAGGAAAGCAAATCTCCTGTAGATCAATGCACACGGTAAACAAGGAGGTCTTGTTTTGTTTTGTTTGATTTTGCTTTGTTTTTAATGTTAGATAATTATGTTTTTACGCCCACACCGAGACAATTTAGATAATTTAAGAAGCGAGCTTCAACCATGCACGTGAGGGCCCACCGTGCTAAGACAGACAACATCCAAGCAGAAAGACCGAAATAATGAAATAATAGATAAAAATTCTCCCTACCCAGGAAACGAACCCAGGTCTCCTGTATGCGATAGTGTAGCGCTTAACCGCTACACCGTAGAAGCAGGTAAACCCTCTAGACCGGACTTTGATCGCAAGCTGCAGTTTGCGCACCCTTGTTCTACTAGGATTTGGTAAGAGTAGGATAAGGAGGTTGGAGCAGGCTTACTCAATTGTGTTGCAGCGAGGTGGAATCAACGCATCACAGACTTGGATTAGAAGATTCAGGTTTTCTTGAACAAGTGTCTAAGAAAGTTACTGAAGATCAGATAGACAGACAGGGTCACCAACGAGGAAGTATTAGTTAAAGAAAACAAGACAGATCCCAGTCAGAGATGAGATAGGAAGAAGGCGGTGGCCATGGATTGGACATACTCTCAGGAAGACAGGCAGCTGCTTAACAAAGAAAATGTTGGATTGGAATCCACAGGGTAAAATATCAAGGGGAAGACCGCGTTGAACAGGAGAAGAATCACAGAAACTGATGTACAGAAAAGTGGTAAGGCATGGAATAACATCAAGAGGCTAGTCCAGGATAGAGAAAGGTGGAAAATGTTTGTCCGTGGCCTATACCCAGGTGCAGGGTGAGAAAGGCAATGATGATGATAAGGTGGAATCAAGCGCTCGCCAATTTTTGGGCATATTATAATTGAGTTCTGGTACGAAGCATAGACAATCAATAGAAAGCTGGAAAGAACAATTGAGGCGACAGAGTTGTGGTTCACAAGACGCATGCTGCGTATCCCATGGACAGCTTTTAAAAAAATGAAGAAATCTTGGTTAAAGAAAATTGCAGGCGACAGTTTATGACGAATATTTCGAAAGCGACAGGCAAATTTCATTGGACACACAATACGGAAAGAATAATTGGAGAATATTGTAACAACAGGCAAGTTTGATGGAAAGAGAGGCAGAGGCAGACAGAGGGAAAAGATATTGGACAAGTTGACAACATGGCTGGGAACACCAAGAACAACAGACATCATCGCTGCTACGCAAGACGGACTGAAGTGGAGGTCCATGATCGCCCACGCCAGTAGGCAAGGCTCCGGATAATGATGATGATTATGGAGTTACGGGTACCATCTTAAAACCAGTACACTTGTCTTGCTTTCGATGAACAAAATACTTAGATACCGAGAACAAAAGTGGACATATTTGCAACTGAAGGAGAAGTTGGTCGCCTGGTGTCTGAGGTAACATTACAGGGAAAATGGCCTCCAAAGTTTGTTGACTTCCTAAGCTGCAGTGTCTTGGAAACTGCAAATTTACAATTTTTAGGTGCCTTTGATAAACGTTAATCAGTAAAAATCCACACTGGAATATGTTTTTAAGTGAAGATAAAATGTGTTGACCTCCACCCCCCCCAAAAAAAAAAAAAAAAAAAAAAAAGATTTATTTAAATTTTTTAAAAAATGAAAAACTATAAAATAATAGATAAATAGGCCTAAATTAATTAATAAATACAATTTTTTACATAAATAACTGATTAAAAAAATATCGATTTAAAAAAATGCCCAAAAGCGAAAAAAAGTCGGTTTCTTCCATTACCTTATTTTGACGAGCGCTTGATTTCACCACGACGCCTCCAACTCCCACATTTGTTTTTCTACTTCTACTCTCCCCGCAGCCTGTGCCGTGGCAGAGCAGAAATGTCACAGGAACAGCCAAGGCGTGAGGGTATACAACGGCAAGAAGTGTGCCAGCACCACGAGGTATAACGACGGGCACAGAGGATCGTGTGGCTGCGGGCCTTCCAACAGTGGTAGGTCTCTGAACCACAGTCTGGTGCGTGGTGGTGCGTGGTGGTGTGCGAAGGTGATGATGGGATACTGGTTTGATATTGAATGATTCTAGAGAAATATGCATACATGTATCATCATCATCATAATCATCGTCGTCGTCGTCGTCGTGTCGTTATCATCATCATCATCCTTATGGCATTATTGGCATGTCTATTGTAATTTTGTAAAGCTCACAGAGCATGCTTTAGGGCGAAGATATGCGCTATATCAATGTGATGACACTTTTACTATGACTGTTGTCAGTTTTATTGCTATTAGGCACATTATTATTATCATTATTAGTATTATTTTGATGTTGATGTTGTTGTTATTATTGTTGTCGTTGTTGTAGTTGTCTCACGACTGTATCCACAGACACTCCTTTCGACTGGAACTTGTCCAAATACGTGACCGCCCCCAACCAGATGTACTACGACAACGGCGGATATAGTTCTTGGTGTGGCAGGAATTGTGGGAAATGTGTCAAGCTTACTCCCACCGGTTCGTTTTTCGTTTGTTGATTATTTTAACACCTTCACTGCTGAAAAGTTTCCACCAACATCTGTACTGACAAGATAAAAAGTTAATTCAAGGAATATTTAAACACATAGAATTGTTTTAGAATAAGAAAAATCACCAGCTGTAATTGTACAAATAAAACTTATTTTGTCATCCAGATGAAACAATAAGTGGATAATACAAGCCAGAACAGACCTCTGCGTAGCAGTGAAGAGGTTAATGTTCTTGTCGTCTCTGTTATCGTTGTACTATCACTCATCGGTCAAAGAGCGGCGGTCACAGAGGGAAGCAATTAATCGCAGGAGGCTTCGAGAACTACATGTATTATTAGAAACGCTGAAGAAGCCAGAAATAAATCCGCAAGCTGCACGCATCCACACGTGGAAATGACGCTTTTTAAAATTAATGCTCAAATTGTGGAAAGCTCTGTCTTCTCTGCTAAAATTCGTTTCATGGGTCGTAACAGAGGCCATGATTCTTTTAAATTAATCTTTATTATACATTTCTTCTATTTCTTAAATTGAAGAAATACTCTCATCTCCGGACGCATTGCTCATAGTTGGACAATTGAAAAAACAAAAACGAACGTCTATGACTATGACATCAATGGTAGGCTACATGTATTAACAATAGAGACAGAACTAATAATAATAATAATAATAATAATAATAATAATAATAATAATAATAATAATAATAATAATAATAATAATAATAATAATAAGAAGAAGAAGAAGAAGAAGAAGAAGAAGAATCCTCAAACTGAAAGACCCGCGTCTGTAGCGTAGCGGTTAGGCACTTCTCTGTACCACGCAGAGTGAGGAGACATTTAAATAGAGTATCTCGGTCTTTCTACTGTTATATTCTATCCCCCTCAGCCTGTGCTAGCCCTGACAGGCACAGCCTCCTACATTGTCTAATTTGTGTCGATGGGGGTGTAAAAAAGACCTACATTAAAAAGGAAAATTTTAACTGAAAAACATTCACGTGGTGCTATCATCTGACACACCCAGGCCTTAATAATATCGTTGAACCCCCTTTCGATGACTTATTAAAAAGGTAAAACCAGCAGTAAATTTTGGGCTTTCTCTCTCTCTCTTTCTCTCCCCCCCCCCCCCCCCTCTCTCTCTCTCTCTCTCTCTCTCTGATATATCTCAGAAGGATT